ATAAAACTACCCACAATCTACGAGTGCTGGAAAAATTTCCTAGAAAGGACAAAAACGTGTTTCCTTGTCGACTAATCTTGTGGGAGACACTTTGGGCTTTTACAATCAGAAAAATTCTATAAAGCTTTTTCAGCTCTAGCTACATCTTTTCTTGGATTTTTAATCTAAGGCCTTGTCCACCGTTCTGAAAAAACAAGGAAACTTCTTACCACTCCTCATTCAAATGTATTTGAATAAACAAAATCACAGAAAAACTAACGTCCGGTTTCGACTGTAACATCTAAAAAATACTGTAAAACTGCAAATGATATACTGCTCTAGGGTTCGCAATTCAAAACTTGACTTTCAGGAGTTTATCTTTATCACTAGACACATCTTTCCCATACATTGTTCCGTGATCGCTTGAAACCGTAATTTCATGTAAACTAGCAGTACCTTTTACTGTTTCTAATTTTGGTAATGACTTTTTTACGTTTTCAATATCAGACTTGTCGTACAAATAAAGTTTAATGGCAGTTTGATCTTTAATTGCATTGACTAGATCAGAGGCATTCGAAAACGATTCGTCTGGTTTAAAATTTACTGTTTCGTCAAACATTCTCTTTAAACTAGCGCCAAATGCGTCAGCAACGCCTTTACCATGGCCGGACTCTAGAAATATCCACTTCATTTTAATTTTTCTTGAAATTGCGAAAGTTTTCATAAGATAAAACATAGTCTTATTGCGATACTGAGAGATCGGTGAGTCTGAGATAATATTTATGCTAGTTATTTCCAGATCTTCGACTAAATGTTTCAAAAGTGATTGTATTCCTGCCCAAGCGGCTTCGGCCATATGGTTAATATCATCACTAATACTGCCGAAACTGAAAGTACCATCTTTTAGCCATACGTGTCCAGTCTGTAAAGCGATGTGTTGTTCGTAGTAGAAAGCACCTTTTTCTTCTCTGGTCTGCTGAAGATGGTAGTTTTCAGACCAGTCGAGTTGAATCGTAGCAACAGAGTCGTTACCTTTGGCCTCTTCCTTAGCTTGCTTTGCAGCTCGATACTGTTCACGTATTTTGTGCACATGATTCGCTAAAATGCCGATTTCCGCAATGAACTTTTTCAAGAAATTATGAATTGTCTGTGTTTCCGTCACTTTTGTCGAAACTAGAGCAACACAATTTGGTAATTTCTTTTTTTGCCATTCACAGTATATGACATTGAAATTCTCTTTGTCCAGTTTCATCAAATTTTCTTTAAACTCATTGGTCTTTTGTTCATCTTTCACTATCTCAGACAAATCACACGGATAACCGTCGAGATGGGTACGGACTACTTGATTTTTCTGTTTTAAATGATATAATTTTTCATATTTCATTTGAGGATTGAGGCAGCTGATGCAGAGACAGGTACCCCAACCATCATGTGACGGCTTTACAATATGCTCTGGTACGTGCCGACAAAATGTGTCATAATCAATGTCGATATTAGTTTCAAGTTCGAACTGTTGATGGAGCACAGTGAGAGGTACTTTCAGCTTTTTGTTTTTATTTGTTAAAAGTTGCACTGTTGCACGGAGTTTTTCGATTTCTGTTTTCAATTTCAACGTGTTTGCACGACGTCGTTTCAGACCTTCTTGCTTACACATAGAAGTTATCGGAGTGGTTGGCGTTTGTGAAACAGGAGTTTGTGCGGTTGGCTGTTGCTGTTTCTTCTTCAAACGCCATTTGGCCTTCGCTGTCGCATGCTGTTCTTTACATTTTTTGTTAAAGACCTTCGACTGTGTCCGTTTTAACTTTTTCTTTTCATAATAAGTTTTCTCGTAAACAACATTCTTGCTCCTCGGAGATCTCATCTAAAAAACTAGACGTTCAGAAAGTTGTGTGTGTCCAATGGGAAACTTCACTCATTTTAATGCCACTAAATTACAGAAAAGTCCGTAGAGAGTAGTGTTTTTAAGGTGAAATTGGCTAGTTGACAGATGTTGCTTGTCCAGCCTCTGTAAGATGCTTAGTCGATGCTGTAAGGAATCGAAAAACATATAATACTTCTATT